TACTACTATTACTAACACTACTACTACTACTACTACTACTACTACTACTACTACTACTACTACTACTAAATAGCCATAAGAATAAACAAAGATAGCAACAGTAATGGCAACAACACAACATTAAAATAGCAAGAACACTAGCAATACCAACAACACATGATAGCAATAATAATGATAGCCATAATAATGGTAATAATAACGATGATCATAACAATATAATAACTGGTATTATTAGAACTTTCTTTAGTAGCAACAGTAACAGCAACATACTTGACAATAATACTGATACTAAGAATGACAATCATAATACTCACCGGGGAGCCCTAATGTTTCTAGGGGCTAAACCCTAAGCCCTAAACCCNNAACCCCTAAACCCTTGCAGTAGCCCTTATAGTAACCCTTATAGACCCTTTTAAGAGCCCTTTAAATAAAAGAACCCTGTTCTAATTCTTGGGGCTTCGGAGCTTTCAGAGGTCCTCAAATCTCTTCGCCGCCGGACGGCCTGAGCTTGACCCACGGTTCCCGGAATCTAGCCCCCTTTGGAGGGTGTAGAGATTCGTCTAGGGTTTTAGAGGTTCTTGTTATTGGTGTAGGTTGCAGGGTTTAGGGTTTAGGGTGTAGAATCAGGGTGGGCCTCCTTTCGAGTCATTACCCTCTGAGGGTGTAGACCTTCATTTTTGGTGGTTCTCCCAAAAGGTGGTGGGATGTAGGCTTTTTTTGGATTTAGGGGGAAGTTCCTTTTCAGACAGTACTTGTATGGGTTGCCGTGCACACTGCCTTCAAGTAGACATGGAGGGGTACATAGGGGACTGTGGAGTTTCTGCATAAAACTTATCGTGCCATCCGACACCAGCAGCAACTCCTTGAGCCCCTCGAAACCCATCTGATGCGCGGGGTTTGGGTTTAGGGTGTAGGGTGATACTGTTGATGATATAAATCCTGCATTGCCTTAAGGACCCTAAACTATGGGAATTATGGTATATTCCTTATTATGGGTAATGCAGGATTTCTATCAGATCATACCCTAAACCCTAAACCCTTAAATTGGGTTTGGGATTCCCTTCTCTCTGGCGCTGTCGGGCTGAGGCTCGCTGTGTCTCAGAAGCCCGAAACCCTGAACCCAACCCAAAGCTCCACGGTTTAGGGTTTAGGGTTTGGGGGTTTAGGGTTTAGGGTTTAGGGGTTTGGGGGTTTAGGGTTTTCGGGTTTAGGGTTTGGGGGTTTAGGGTTAAGGGTTTAGGGTTTTAGGGTTTAGGGTTTGGGGGTTTAGGGTTAAGGGTTTAGGGTTAAGGGTAGGGCCTCACAGCACCGCGCCCAGGAGCCCCTATCAGCTTAGCAAACACCCCACCCAAACTCTCATCCCCCAAAATCCTACCCGAACCCTTTCTAAATACCCGGAGCCCAGAAGCCTCAAAAGGCCCCACTGCTAGAATTACAATAAGGAGCCGCAACATAGCATAGGCAATTATTCATGCCCCTAAAACCCTAAACCCTGAAACCCTAAAACCCTAAACACCTAAACACCCTAAACCCTAAACCCAAAAACCCTAAAACCCTAAACCCTAAACCCTGTATGATAAGCCCTCCTTTTAAAGACTCTCCCCTGAACCCTAAAACATAAGCCCTCCTCTTAAAGGCTCTCCGGGAACTTTTTCTGCTCCAGCCTCCAAGTGCTCAGCCCAGGAGTCGGGTGGTAGGGGCCGCCTCAGGAGCTTTCTTTAAGGGCCCCTAAACCCCTAGGGTTTAGGGTTTAGGGTTTAGAGTTTAGGGTTTAGGGTCTACAGCTCTGTTTTAAATTCAGAACAGAGCTTTCTTTAAGGGTCCCGAAACCCCATGAAGGCCCTAATACTAAAGCCTTCAACCCCAAAACCCTAAGCCCTAAACCCTAAGCGTCCGTAAACCCTAAATCCTAAGGCCTAAACCCTAAACCCTAAACCCTAAAACCCTAAACCTTCAGAAACCCTAAACCCTAAACGGTTTGGGGCTCGGGGGTTTAGGGCTTGGCGGCTGTGGGTTTAGATTAGGGTTAAGGGTTAAGGGTGAAGGGTTTAGGAACTCGGATTACGTAAAGGGAATAGTCTGACGTCGGTCGCCGTCTTGCGGCTGTGCTAATATAGGGGTATATTATACCATAACTGCAATGAGTAGCCCCAAGCAGTATTGGTAATTATTTAGACCCTTATAGAAATTAGAAACGCAAGGATGCAAGAAGCTCAAGCATCGCCGGCTGCCCTCAGCAACCCATCAAGTATGGCGGCATGTCGCTCGCTGTAAGAACCCTCGTAAACTCCAAAGCCCAAAATTATTTGGGCCTAGGGCTTTATGAGGGCTCTAACAATGATATGAATAAGGGTTACTTATTAGGTTCAGGGCTTGAGGGTTCTATGTAAAAAACCAGAAAAATTCTACGATAGGGGCCTTAATAATTACCTATACTATTTTTGGGGATTCCTCAAAAAAGTTCTAGTATGACATACCCCAAGACCCTGTTCGAATTATTCAGGCCCCCATATTACGTTCCAACCTCGATCCTGCTCCCACTTCAGCCAGCAGACTCTGACTTCGCGTTGGGCTTCCAGCGCGGGCCCCGGTCCAGGGACCGGGTGTGCCTGAACAAGAGCTAAGAAGTTTCAGCAAGTAGAGGAGGCTTTCTGCGGAGTAATTTGATAACTCTAAACCCTAAACCCTAAACCATAACCACGATGTCCTTTTTGGGATGCTGCTTGTATAAGCCCTATGAAACCCCACAGGCTCCACGCGCACTGTGGCTGAAGGGTCAACTGCGGGCCAGGTCACGCCGACTTCTCCTTCGTGTAGGCTTTCCACAGTGCCTTTGGTAGGGTTTACTGTTTAGGGTCTCTTGAACGTGGTGTTGAGGCCTACTGGGAGACTTAAACCTTCGAACTACCTGGGGATTCCCAGTATTATTTTTCAGTAGAATAGGTCTGTTCTTAACTAATCATCTATTAGGCCACCCATTTTAGCAGGACTCAACTGGTAGGTGAAGTTGTAGTGCCAGGGAATGGGGTGGGTTAGCAGGGTGTACTTGGAGGTTCACGGTTGGGATCTACGGCGTTTACGGTTTGGGGGCTGGGTGGTTGTAAGTAGGGTTCTAGGAGCTCCAGCTGCAGCTCTGAATAGTTGAAATTATTTCGACTTCACTTGTGACCTGGGTGCATAACGAAGGGTTGATCTTGCCTGCGTGATTGGATGTCCGGTGAAGAATGAAACCACGCCCAAAATCAAGCTCCCATCTCAAGCCTCCAATCTCTACATCAACACTGAAACTCCAGCCGATAACCCCAACCTAAGTTCTTAAACCCTAAATCCGACACAGGGGGCCTTAACAATTAGAATAGGGCTTGGGTGTAAACGATATTACGGACCATAAGGAAAGGTAATGTTGTATATTACTATGCGACCCTGGACGATCCTTCCCTTCAAGCCCTTCGAAGTCGCTGCAGGTCCCTGTCTGAACTTCAGACAGGACCGCCCCCATTCAGGGTCTGAGGTTCCAGGGTGCATGGTTTGGGGAAGACCTTTCTACAGCCCCCCCCACACGTCACACCGCCTGGGTGTCCATCTGCCGCAGCGCGCTCCGCTGCTTGGCCCTGAGATTTTCGTTTAGGGTTTAGATACTTCAGGAGCGGCAGCGATATTGTCGATGTGATGGGGCGCATCATCCATGTGGCTCATGTCAATGTTAGAGATGATGCGTATGACACGTTTGTTTGGGTTCACCTTCATAATTGCCCGAAGCCCTAAATCCTAATCCACTAGCTGGTCGATGTAATTTTCGCTACTCCGCTCGGGTCCTTAGTAATTCGAGCCGGGTTTGGGGACCTGCTGTAATAGAATTCCAATACGGAACACCGAAAAATGTTGCTCCAGGGTTCGCCTCAAATCTTACTTAACCTCCAAAGCCCTGAAGCCGCGAAGCCCAAACCCAAATCCCTGCAAGTATAGTATAGTCTAGTATGGTGTCTAGTGTATATTGTATAGTGTAAAGTGTATAGTGTAAAGTGTAAAGCATAAAGTGTATAGTATAGTATAGTATGGTATAGTATAATACGGTATAGTATAGTATCCTAGAATACGGTATAGTATAGTGACCTATTTTGGGTGACCCGTGCTTATTTCATCCCTGAGACTAAGACGAAGCCCAGAGGCGGCATCATGGCTCCTACTACTCTAAGCCCCTTGAGACACCATGAATCCGAATAGGGTTTTGGTGGGCTAGAATACACAGGTAATAATAGAAATGTCACAGTACGAATAATGAAAATACGAATAATCGTTATAGTATCAGAAGTGTGAAACCGAATAACGATGTTCATTCCCGCGTTGGGATTTAGGAGTCTATGGATTCAGAGGCTTTCCTACAGCCCAAATGCTCTCCAAGAAGCAACCCCAAGCGATATAGGATCAGAATAGTGGGTTGAAGGTTTAGGGTCTAGGGTCGGCATAGCGGGCCCAGGGTTTGGGCTTAAAGCCCCCATACAGGCAGGTATGGTCGGGGTATAGTACACCTCGAAGCCCTGTTCGAGTTGTGGCAAGCCTCGTCAACTCTGACTGCGAACCCCCTGAAGTCCTGAACCCCAAATTAAAGGAAACTACAGGTGGGGAGTTTGGGGTATATAGGGCTTCTACAAGGCCTCTATAAGGTATATGGACCTGCTATAAGGCTCCTATAGCGGTAACCACCCACCTGAAAATGTCCTAGACCAAGACCAAATCCCCAAACCCCCCAACCACCCCTAAACTACAAAGAAAAAAGCAAACCAACCCTGAGACAACCCCCTTCCTCAACCCCAACTAAGGCTCCCCCCCATTTAAAAAAAGCACCCTCCGGCTTTGAGAACCCCACAACAAAGAACCCAGAAACGTAGGAACCTGATTAAGAAACCCTGGCCCTATAACTCCCGACCTATTAGGGTTCCTATACGGAACCCTAATCAAGAAGCAAGAACCCTAATCAAGACCCAGGGTTTCACAATCAGCTTCCTATATCAAAGCCCTTGGCCCTGTAAACCCATGAACCCCAAACCCATAAAGCCAGAATCCATAAAGCTCAAATCCATAGACCCTGAACCCCATAAACCCTAAACCCATAGAGCCAAAATCCATAAAGCAAAAAATCAATAAAACCTGAACCCCATAAAGCAAAAACCCATAAGCCCTAAACCTACAAACCCTTGGTCCGTAAACCTTAAACCCGTAAACCCTAAACCCATAAACCCTGAACCCTTAAACCCTAGACTCACAAACCCTAAACCCATAAACCCAAAACCAATAAACACTCAACAGCTCCTATAAATCCTTATTAGCAGTCTACTACAATTTATGCCGTATGCCGGAACCCTATGCTGATTGTTAAGACCACAATATTGGGGTAGTTCTCTAAAGTAGGGGCCCTTATGTCATACTATATTGGGGGTCCTGAAGGGGACCCGAATTTAGAAAATCACCCATACAGAACCCTCATAATACCCTGGTAGAAACCCTATAGAAACCTTTATGGATTCTCTTAAGGAGCCCCTACAATGGCACCCCTAATTTGGAGAACTACCCAATTAACATAGGGGCTGTAACAAATAGAACAGGGTTTGGGGGTATATGAAACACAAAAGTAAGGAACGCCCAAAATAGTATAGGTAACAGTTAAGGCCCCTAAAACCCTAAACCCCATACTACAAGCCCTCCTTGTAAAGACTGAAATAGTACAGGTAATTATTTAGGCCCCTAAATTCGAAGATCTCAAAATCGTACAGGGAAATCTTTAGGGCCCCTAAACTCGTGCCCTGTGCTTTCTGAGGGGCGGATTGAACTCCAGGAGCTTCCTGGGCTGAAAGCTTTTGGAGGCCTCTAGGGCTTAGGGTTCCGTTTAAAGGGCTTAGGGTTCCGTTTAAAGGGCTTAGGGTTCCGTTTAAAGGGCTTAGGGTTCCTTTTTAAAGGGCTTAGGGTTCCTTTGAAAGGGCTTAGGGTTCCGTTTAAAGGGCTTAGGGTTCGTTTTTAAGGGGCTTACGGTTCCTTTTTAAAGGGCTTAGGGTTCCTTTGAAAGGGCTTAGGGTTCCGTTCAAAGGGCTTAGGGTTCGTTTTAAAGGGCTTAGGGTTTAGGGCTTAGGGCTCCTTTTAAAGGGTTTAGGGTTTAGGGCTTAGGGTTCCTTTTAAAGGGTTCAGGGTTTTGGGTTCAGGACCTCAGGATTTAGTGCTTAGAGTTCCTTTTCAAGGGGTAAGGGTTTAGGGTTCAGGATGTAGGGTATAGGGCTTAGGGTTCCTTTTAACGGGTTCAGGGTTCAGGGCTTAGTGCTTAGGATTCAGGATTTAGGGCTGCTATGAGTTGAAGCTTTGCTCCGTGGGGGGCCCTCGGGGATATAGACCCTCTCAATAAGGTCCCTTTTTGAAGGAGCCACAAGTAGAGCTGAGAAGGGTCCCCTTGAAGGGCTCTCCCTAATAGCACCTAGGATGAAGGTTGAGGGTTCCGGCGGGGCTAGGGCTCAGTGGTCTTAAGGCTTTGGGGGGGGTGCATGTAAGGTTTGGGGCTTATTTGGTTTATTTATGTCGATTTAGGCAGCGTTTAGGATTCAGGGACTTTGAGGGGTTTGTTGCTTCAGGTTCAGCTGTTTTGGATAAGGGTGTAGTGTTGGGGAGTTCCGGATTCCCCTCAACAACACAAAACGCATCCAGCGCCAAGAACTCTCTCTTTAGAGGAACCTTCGATGGAACCCTTACAGAAACCTTTATCAGTCCCTTTATCGGAATCCCCCAAGGGGAGCCGTTTAAGCTTCCTAATAGACCCTAAACCCTAAAACCTAAACCCTAAACTCTAATAAACCGAAAAACCCTGAACTCTAATAAACCCTAAACCCTAAACTCTAATAAACCCTAAACCCTAAACTCTAATAAACCCTAAGCCCTAAACTCTAATAAACCCAAAACCCTAAAATCTCTAACAAACCCTAGACCCTAAACCTTAATAAAACCTTAAAGATCCCTCAAAGCACCACGCCTCTAATAAACCCTAAACCCTAAACCTTAATAAAACCTTAAAGATCCCTCAAAGCACCAAAGCACCATAAACCCTAAACCCTAAACTCTGATAAACCCTACTAGACCCTAAACCCTAAACCCTAAACCCTAAACCCAAAGACTCAAAGCACCAGGCCAGGGGTCGGGATGGACATCGCCTCGTCGTAGCCCAGGGACATCGCGGTAAAGACCGAGGCTGCGGTCGGCCTTTGCGGGTTTGCGGGGTTTAGGGTTTAGGGTTTTGGGGTTTTAGGGGTTTAGGGTTTAGGGTTAAGAATATAAAGTCTAGGGATAACGGTTTAGGCTTCGGTTTAGGTTCAAGGGTCCTGTTTAAAGGTTCCTCTAAG